TGGGTTGGTTGGTTGGTTGGTTGGTTGGTTGGTTGGTTGGTTGGTTGGTTGGTTGGTGGGTCGGTTGGTTGGTTTGGGTCGGTTGGTTGGTTGGTGGGTTGGTTGGGTTGGTGGGTTGGTTGGTTGGTTTGGTTGGTTGGTGCGTTGGTTGGTGGGTTGGTTCGGTGGGTTGGTTTGGTGGGGTGGTTTGTGGGTTGGGTTTGGTTGGTTGGTTGGTTGGTCCGTTTCTGTTGGTTAGTTGGTTTGGTTGGTTGGTTGGGTTGGTTGGTTGGTTGGTTTGGTTGGTTTGGTTGGTTGGTTTGGTTGGTTGGTTTGGTTGGTTTGCTTGGTTGGTTGGTTGCTTTGTTGGTTGGTTTGTTGCTTGGTTGCTTGGTTGGTTGGTTGCTTGGTTGCTTGGTTGGTTGGCGGTTGGTTGGTTGGTTGCTTGTTTGCTTGTTTGTTTGTTTGTTTGTTTGCTTGCTTGCTTGCTTGCTTGCTGGCTGAGAGCTGCGTAAAGTGAATGAATTTTGAATGTTCGACCATTGTGCTCTAATTTGAGTTTAAAATTTGAATAAACAATTGAACCAGAAAGTTCTGCAATTTCAGCCCCCTCGAATTTGACTTGGTCCTTGTCACGGACGCACCTTTTATTGATACCAAAAAGTCCGTAGGACCGCTTTACGGCCGTCCGCCAATTTCAAAAAGGTTGGACTGAAAGTTAGAGAGTGAATTGTACCCCAAGGGCCCAAGGTTTCCATTCACCAAAAAATAATAATAATTCCATGGCCAATACAACCCCGTACGACTTCTCCAGACAAGTACGGAGGCTGGACTTTGCAAAAATATCTATTCAATTGTTTCTCTGATTTTTCTATTCGAAAAGACAGACAAGCAAGATTTGCACCATGGGAAAGCTAGTCCCCGCTGTTCTAGTGTGGAGTGGTCAATGAGCCAGTCATTTGTAGGTAAGCAATGGTGAATAATGTGCCACTGTAGGGAAGGTAACTTAGCTGGAAATTGTCTAATATTTGGAAATATATGTATATGCCTTGTTCCATTTATATGATTATATCATAGGCTACCGGAGTGGCCCGGGGCATATATATATCGTCAAATAGAACTGCCCGGTAAACCGTAGGCAGAGAGGGAGAAGAGGACAACAAACGAGGGGCTGTGACATATATATATATATATACCCTCCTGATGAGTCGGTGAAACTCCGACGAAACAGTTTGTCACAGCCCCTCGTTTGTTGTCCTCTTCTCCCTCTCTGCCTACGGTTTACCGGGCAGTTCTATTTGACGATAAAATACAAATATAAATTAAAAATATAAATTAAAAATATAAATTAAACAATAATAATTATTATTATTATTTTTTTTTCATTTTGGTCCCAGCCGAGCAAGTGGACCTGGGACACTCTGGTAGCCTAGTATATATATAGATATATATATATATATAGATATATCTGGGTAGCACCCCGTACGCGTACGTATTTCGGCGTACTCGTACGAACCCAAAATCGCGCGTACGCGTACGTAAAAAAGTTGTTTGTATCATGTTTCTGCATAACATATATTTGTTATAGAAGTTTGTTTTTATTTTTGTGTGTTTTTTTCCTAGTTTTTTTTTATTATTTCAATTTATTTGTTTTTTGTGTCTTTGATTTTTAACTCGAGTTTGGTACAGAATTTCGAGATGAGTCTCAGGCAAACTTTGTTTGTAATATCATTTTGCATAACATACTTACTTTTCAGATTTTTTTGATGACTTGGGTTTTTTTTTTTTTTACGTATTCCCACGTACGGGAGTACGTGTACGCGTGTACGCGCAACCCGCGTACACGTACGCCGTGCTACCCATATATATATATATATATATATATATATATATATATATACCTTCTCTTCCCTCTGTACACCCGAAGACCACCACTGCGCCTTGCTGTTTATCCAAGCCCAACCAGCTATGGAAGCAGGGCTATGGCGCTTCCCTAAGCAGCGCCCTTTTTCCCACACGAACGCAGGTGCACAGCACCTTGCCCCAGCACTAGCAGCAGCCCACGAACATCGGCTCCAGCAGTGCTGCCGCAAACTGGCAAGTGCCAGAATGGGCTGCCAGGCAGCGAACTCTTTCCTATATGGAAAGAGTCTGGCCTGGCCTGCGCCCAGAAGCTTCCAGTAGGCCCCAGGT